GGACTAATTAGCGCACTAAACACCATTTCGGAAAATATAGAATTTACTGTAATTTAATGCTACTATCATATTGCAAAAGTTATTTACTCTATGTATATGATAAAACTTCACATTTACCTCATGAAAGGACAGTGATTAAATACTATTCATGCAGGTATTCATTTGAACATAAGTGGTCATTTGTACTCTTGGAGTGTACTAATTAGAAGTACACTTACAAATTACGGAACTAGGGCGTTCACTGTATTGTCTTCCTGTATGTGCATTAAAAACATATTACACACTTCATTACATATATATTTATCACAACACAATGGTTCTTCAACTTATAACTAGAATGAATCACCTTACGGAAGTAAAGTAAATGTCAATCACTTGTAAGACATCAGTAGTATCGAACATGATAAAGTATAAAGAAGTAATGATTTACTTTTAGAACTTTGTAAAGTGCTAATTCATTGATTTTTTGAAGATATGAAACCTACGATTAACACAGATGGATATGTTCCCTTTGTCGTTTCCACAACCCATCTTCTTGTTCTCGATTGTGACATGCGACTTATCAGCTAATTTTTTACCTGTGACGAGTAACACGACGAGTGCCGCTAGTGAAGCAGGAACTGCTTACCATTCCACACTCAATTTCACCCCCCGGTTGAAGTTGGTGTTTTTCATTTTTCAGTTTTCTTTGTATTTTTTATGGACTATTTTTTGTGTTTACGTCGTTTTTCTTTTTGTCCATGGTGTTGTCTACTTTTGTGTTAGGAAGAATGAAAGAAGCTGACATTATTCTTTAACTTTACGTTCCGCGATATGATGTCCTTTCTTTAAATAATTCAAAGTTTGGTGACTATGTTGAACGTACCTATCCCATTGAACTTGATATAAAGGATTACCACAGATACAATAAAGTCTGTTTCATATCTTGAAATTGATAATGAAGATAGGTTGAGAACATAACTTTACGGTTAAGGTGATGCTATCAGCTTCCCAATTGAGAACTCATCATTTCTATGTAGCAACTTCAACGCAGCGCCTGCAAATGGCGTACATATCTCTTAGTCAATACGATATTCCAGAGCTTGGAAGCTATTGAACCAAGGGTCCAAAGTGGTAAAGTTAATGAAATCCCATTCGAAAATTTTACGGACGCCATTACGCGAGTTGGTTGACCGTTACGGAATATCCGTTTTCACAGATGACGATGGATATGTCCCAACTGTCGTAACCACATTTCCGTCCTCTTTCCTCTAATGTGACATTACCGAATTTCTAGCTACTAAAAGTACTTAGACGAGCAACACGACCGGTGCCACATGTGTAGCAGGATTTGCTTACCTTACCGGAGAACATGATATCACCTCCCCGGTTTTGGTGGGTTCGTGTTGCTCAGTCTTGAGTTTTGTAGGTTGTTTTTTGTAGACTATTGTTTGTTTTTCAGTCGTTTTTCGTTTTTTCGCCTCGGCGTTGTCATTTTGGTTCGACTTGGTTCGACTTATGAGTTTAAATATAACTTTGGTACCTTCCCCCTCTCTCTTTGACATTTTCTACATTCTTTTTTGATATTGATAGACTACAATATAACAAAGTAGATGTAGGGAATATACTTTAATGATACCACTATCTAAAAACACCAAACACAACGAACAGCTGTAATTTTATTTTACGAATAGTGGACATCACACCGATACTGTTGTCAGGTCATTAAAGATTGCATATTTTGGCTTTAATATTGATTCACTTATAGTGTCTTTGCATCGAAATTAAACATATTTATTCTAAAACCACTTGTTGGCATGACACGGGTTATGTTCTTCTCATATATTTTATGATGGTATAATACTAAACCCCTTACAGGAGGGATTGTGCTTGATATTCATATTTCTACATTGGCTAGAGGTATAGGGGGAGGGTTGAGATCTCAAAAAACATGTTTAACCCCGCAACATTGTTGCACCTGTCCCAAGTCAGGAGCCTCTGTCCTTTGTTAGTCTTGTATCATTTTTAATTTTAGTTTCTTGTGTATAATTTGGAGTTTAGTATGGCGTCCATTATCACTGAACTAGTATACATATCTGTTTAGGGGCCAGCTGAAGGACGCCTCCGGGTGCGGGAGTTTCTCGCTGCATTGAAGACCCATTGGTGGCCTTCGGCTGTTGTCTGCTTTATGGTCGGGTTGTTGTCTCTTTGACACATTCCCCATTTCCATTCTCAATTTTATCAAACAATTACAAGTGAATAAAAAATATATAAATTTATTTTTCGAACTAAAGTTTTAAATATATGATTTTTGCTTACAGATAAGATTTTTTTTCAGACTTAAACTTTTATTTCCGAGTGTCTTGATAAAGTATATATATCCAGTTCCTTATCCTCTAAATTAATCACATACTTCATAATGGCATATTAGTATTTCTCCATGAGAAGAACAAAAAAAGAAAGTATAACCAATGTAATGTAAAGCTATAAGAACCATCATCTGGACCCGAAAATTGAAAAAAAGGGAACCGCTTACATCCAATGTTATTTAGGTCAGTTTTATTGATAGGGTGAAATAATCTGGAAATTTCATAATCTAAATTTGGTTTGTTGTGTCACCGTTAAGCAATAAACATGTTGAAATGGACTGTCCAAGGTAAGGGGAAGGGTTGAGCGCTCACAAACATGTTTAACCCCGCCACATTCGATGTGTGCCTGTAGTTCAGTGGTTGTCGTTGGTTCATGTCGGTCATATTTGTTTTTCGTAAATTGTTTTGTTATACATTTGGCCGTTAGTTTTCTCAATTGAATTGTTTCCTATTTTTTATATCGGGGCCTCTTGTAGCCGACTATACGGTATGAGTTTTTCTCATTGTTAAAGGCCGTACGGTTACCTATAATTGCTTACATCCACTTCACTTGAACTATGGTTGATAGTCGTCTCATTAGCAATCATACCTCATCTCCTTATTTTTATATATTTGACATAAAATGGTAATTCTACACATAGTTTTTTGGCAAATCAAAAATGAACCAAAGCCTTTATCCAAAAGATAGTTTACCTACATTTACATCTTTGTATAAGACATCTACTAGCAAAATATAAGTCTTGACTTATATTGAAAATTAGTTAAAAGATTATCAGTTTTTTTCCAGTTTTGCATGAAAAGCAAGGTGTTTAAAGTCCTAAAGCAAATTTGTTAAAAACAATCAAAAAATATTAATAATGATAACTGAAAGACTAATTCACCGATAAAGAACATCTTTATGATGTTATTTGATAGATATATTATACTTTTGATTTTTGAATTCAAGCAAATGTCCAACAATGTGGCCTTATCATGCATTTTTATTCAATCACTTTGGTTAATGATGTCCTTCGATGCAAAAATTTTCATGTACAATTTGCAATATATCATCAAAATTGTTTCAACAGCAATATATTACACAGAATATTTTTTTTATTCTGTAGATATATGTAAAATTGTTTGAACATCTTTTTAGTATATAATCTTACTCTAATATTCATAATGCATTAGGTTTCAATTCATTTTGATCGTGTATGCGAAATAATGCTGGGGACATTCGTCCTTCGTTTTATTCGAGAAACAAACGCTATAGACGCATTGCAGATGTATATTGAAAAAAAAACACTAAATCCCAAATACGATCAACCAAAATACCGACGAAATCGGCGAAACACATTTTTATGAGTAAGAAATAATTCCATGATTCTCATTATTTCATTTAAACATTAAGGTAGACGAGTTATATTCTATTGGTTTATAGTTATATTCCTTTGACCTTTCCGGACGCCCTGAAAACTTTGTCAGAAAGTTATTCAACCATGTTCATTACTTTTCCGAGACAATTTTTAATATTTAATAAGGTATTTATACATAAAAAAAAACTACTGCCCTATGTCAACCAGGTATGCATTACTGTTACATATATAATAGATTGATTGATACTTGTTTAACATTCAGTGGCAGTTATTTCATGCAGATGTATTAAGATGTATTAAGTAATAACCAATCTTTTACGCTCAATAATATTATAAAATAATGTTCTTATTAGAAACATATTTTTATTGAAAATAGAATGTATGCGCTCAACAAATTCCTGTGAACATCGTACAACAATTATAAGTTTATTCAAGATAGATTGGTTCAGACGTCGTGTGTAATGTAGCTGTGTCATGGTAGCACCTACTGGACATTTCTTATGACAAGTAAATCATCAAATGCGGACAAATTACATTTTCATATTGATTTACGGACAACACTGAAATATATTCTTGGACAGCACAAACTACCATAAATGTCATAGATATCATTAACGACTTCTGTCTCTTGCACAAAATGAACAAGGATGTATATATATATATTGCTTACCGATACAACAAAACTCGGCTTCGACAAAAAATAAAATATTTTTGATGGCTGTGATTTCAAAACGAACACTTCTACACTATTTCAGTAAATCATAGGTATCCTTTCCAATTCTAGGTCTGTTTCATCCTTATATATAGATATACGTTTAATAAAATAAATGTTGCGAATTGGTTACATAAGTCAGTGGTTGTTCCTTTGGCTAAGTCTTTATTTTTGATATCACTTTGTGTAACTGAATTATTCAATCATAAGATACAAAGAATTCGAGTGGTTAACATAAATCTGACAGCAACCAAACAACACAAAAATACATACTCAAGTTAACAAAAATGTACATTTGTACTGTAATTTCTTTTAGGAAACAAAGTATTTATAACTATTTACCACAATATTAACCAAAACTATTAGCAAGACACATAAAAGACAATTACCTCTAAATATATTATCTCATAAATTGTCAATATATATAATATGCTAAGATTTGTAATGATGATACTAATAAACATATAAAAGATGTCATTTCACACTTATGATAGTAAGTTAACAGTCTCCAAACAAGGATATGGTCCTGTTTAATTATTCTAATCATATCTATAGGTGGAGCTAAATTGTCATCCACTTAATGAAGATACATGCCAGGATGTTACATTAAAAACATCTGCAGTGCATTATTATCTTCATAGTTGTAAAGGACGTACGTGCTATAATTCAGAAAGGTAAGGTATAACGGACTGGCAGTTCTTTTACAAGTGGTTTCGGTTGATTTTTAGTTTAAAGATACCATTTTAAGACAGATTCATATTTCAAGAGGAAGATGCTGTCATATGATTAACTATTGGTTTGTTTTATCATTTCTTAACTTATTTTTAAACTGATGCCTGTGTTCGTTGCAATAACTTTGGTCACAAAACATAAACGAAAGTCATGCAGTTTATGAGGAATAATTCAAAACCTCAATTTAAAAAATAAAAAGATGCTGACCAAGATTCATATGTTAAAATTATCAAATGTTAGATAGGACTAGGAAATGCATCACATTGAAACCTTGTACTTTAAAGATAAGTCCTCATTTGAACAAAACTATCTCTATAATTCTGATGTTGTTCTTTATAGCAGATTTAGCTGTTGACATCAGTTACGAGGGCTTCATGGGCGCTGTAGTGATAATTAACAACATTGTTATCTGTTTCCACCATTTTTATATTTTCTATTTCAATCCTTAAACTTCTGCGATAATCATATAAACTTCTCTTACAAAATGCTTATAAAGGACAATAGTTTAACAGTTGATATTAAACACGGAAAACAGGCCAGAAGCTAAATAGTATTAAACATTTTCTGTCGTAGATCTTACTTTTCCAGGAAAAAATCATTTTAACCATAGTAAAACAATAATTGCAATTAGTATAAATCTGGCAACTCTCTAAGAATGCTCAACATATGTGCACTTTGACAACGAGTACCTGGAAGGGATTGTGATTTCAATTAGGCCATAACTATCTTTTTTTTCTTTATAGTGTTTTGCAGACTGTTATTAGCTTTTTTCGTCGTTTTTCTTTTTATTTTGCCATGGCAATATCGGTTTTTCTTGGACTTTTTGGATATTGATAGTCCCTTTAGTACCTGCATATTTTTTGTAACAAATGTAAATAAATACCTCACGGACACTTAAAGATCCTTAAACAACAATCCACCTTTTCTATGATATTACAAGATTGTAAGGCCAAATATACATTCTTAACAGAATCAGATGAGAAGAACAGTCTTACAGATTAAGAAAATTACTATCAAACAAAACATTTTAGAAGACAATTTTTTTGGTTCATAGTACAGTTTAAAACTTTTGAAGACCGAGTGAAGTATATTGTGCTGCAGCGTTTGAATGTTATGAAAAAGGGGACGCCTTCAAGTAATTTTTAGTGCTTTTCATAATGTTGCTCACTGATTTTGAGTAAGCCTTCGAAAAAACTAACGATATATACTTGTCTATTAACATTGGCATCCAGCATTGAGTAAATCCCAATCAAAATCACACAATTTAGCAAATATCCAATATAATGTAATTTTCATTTGCTGTTTTTACATATTATTTTTTACTTATATACAGTACGTGTATACCCTCGGTTTAAAGTCTCCAATAATGGCAAAAATAAGCAGAGTAAAAGTATTTTAATTGATGTAAATATACATATTTCTGTGCAAAAAAGTTTATATGTATATCAATTTCACGTACTAGGTATTTTGGACATCAAACCAACTGGAATTCGATATCACGATTAAAAATATCACGATTAAAAAAAAATCGTGATCACGGCTTGAAATCGTGATCACCATTTCTCTCTGGGCTCATGGTAACTTTTACCATGAAACAATCCTTATCCATTGTATCTCATTCATGAAATTCGGATGTAACGTAAATAAAAAAATCCGTACAATACCGAGATAGTACACTTCTTCATACTTAATGAACTAGACTTTGAAATTCAAAATTAATATATTTATCAAATGGCCACGAAGATCGTCACGAAAATCGTCAAAATAAATTAATAAGATATAAACATGTAAAAACGTACACATTTCTATTGAATATTATTCCCGGCATCGAGTTCCTAAAGATGAACTGATCAAATAGCGGTAACCATAGAACAGGCAAACAAATCGCGTTGAATTCCCTTTACAATTTTCTTGTTTTTACCCAGTGTTGAGCTATATTTCGTACATAAAAAAAAAGTATGCATTTTTAGTTGCTCCTAACAATAATATGCACGACGCACCCGGTCTCGCGCCGTTTGGGTGAAATGACAAATTTGTATTTGGAGCGGCATTTAAAATTTTAGGACACTAAAAGACCAATCTTAAATCAAAATTATGTTTTAGATACAAAATGCGTAAAGACTAAAATTAATATAAAAATTTTCAACTTTATAGAATTTTAGTATTATTTCGCATAAAAAAGGTGGCGACATGGAACGAAGAGAACCAAGAGGTTTTGCTGTATATTTTAAGGAAGTTAACATCTTTCAAATCTAAATCAGAAAATGTTGATAAGAATATTTTCTTTAGAATAAAATCTAAAGATAATCTAAATCGTTATCATATTTTTGTTTATGTTTCCTCCAAACGCGGCGTTAAATGTGTGCACCATTCAATAGTATAGCCAAAGCAGTGCAGTCATTATCTGAGAACACCCCCAAAATCTTACCCTTTTGGGCACAGAATAAATGTCAGAACTTGACAACACATCATTTATTTTTTTCACAGCTGAGTTTCAATGTTCCCTGTGTTCTCTTTGTTAGCATCTATACTACTAAAATAACGAGGTCCAATTTGTTAGCCGGCATGACATAAAAACGACGAATCAATGAATTCAACTTTATATAATACTGATATAAGACAATTGTGTTGTTTAAAAATTACACAATTGTAGGCTCTTTTGTTTTCCACGTAATTAATATTACCAATATTTAACAAGTTCTGAGTCGAACCCGATACCGATATCAATAGTATATTAAGTCACATGTAGTTTCCGGTTGTTGCCTGTTACATTGTACCTTCTGTAAATATCTCCTTTATCAGGACAACCTAGAATTCTTCCAGTAGTTGTTTTATATCCATGTTACACTATAGTTCACTATTTAAGTCTGTTTTCTTCCACCTCAATACCACTATTAATTTTGGTTAATTAGTTGAAAATTGAAAAACCAGGACGGGTTCAAACAGAAAGATTTTGAAAGCAGAGAATACTGTGCACCTTACAATCAGCATGACTTTATAAGATGACAATAAAAATTCTAAAAATTCAGGCATAGAATAAGGCACGGGTACTTTAATTAAGTCACGGAACCGCGATGTCGCGGGTGTGTTCTAGTTATATTAAGTCATTTATTACTCGCTGACTTCTGTTGCATTTCAGGCATTAACAAAAACAAAAATTGTTAGGTTAATAATGCAGTTTGATTAGTACCAACAATGTATATTCATGCTTTCATAACTGTGTACATATGCAAAAAATAGTAAATTGATTACAATAACTGTCAAATATTCTGAAAAAAAGAACACAATATATACATTACTATGAAAATAGACAAACAAGAGGGAAGTGATTAGAAGTATGGGCATAGCTTATAATTAGTGATATATCAAACCTTTTATTATCAGATATTAAGTGGTAAATAACCCTCATTTTTCGAGACCATTTATGGAATAACTAATCCTAGAATTCAAATACAGAAAAAATATTTAGCGCGTAACCGAACAACAAATTAATTATCGGATGCGCGTAGCGTATTAGTAAACTTTTAGTGTTGTTCGGTTTCAAGTTGATTACTTTTCGATATTTTTTTTTATTACATTTACTTTTTGGAAATAAGGTCGAAAATGTAAGGAATCATATCTTTTTCTTCGCATTCTCAATTTGTATTGGTGCAACGTCATCGATATCGACAACGTCTTGACACGTAAGATGAGTGAAAATATCGGATTTGTTTTACATGTGAAATTATCGGTTGATTTAAATTACCGTTATTTCCCAGTGAAATAAAAACCGATAATTTCACTAGTGACTCCTCTGACGTCATTCAACAATAGGTGTTGTCAAAACGTTGTCGATGACGTCGCATCAAAGCAAATTATGAATGCGTTAGAAAAAGATATAGTTCCTTACATTTTCTACTTTAATTTTATTAAAAAGCCCATTGTCAATGTAATAAAAAGAATAACTAATCAAAGAATTCAAATATCGAAAAATATTCAACGAGTGACCTTAACAACACTGATAATTAACTCATGCACTACACGCATTCGTGAATTAATGTGTTGTTCGGTCACTTGTTGAATATTTTTCTATATTTGAATACTTCGATTAGTTATTCTATAAATATTCCTTACAAAAAAAAACCCATGTCGACCCGTTTTGTTGTCTTGTTTGTTCGTTCTGGTTTTGTGTGTTTGTTTATTTGAGAGTGATGAAGAATAGTAAGACATATAGTTTAAAAGTTTGTAAATAGCAATAGTACATATCTATTTTTTTAAATCCTGGGCTGCTCATTGACGTTTATCAAAAGTTTATATTCATATTTTAATGCAAGTTGAAATAAAATATTAAATAGAGCTATATTTCACATTGATTTAAAAAAAAATATACAACTATTGCCTTTTGATGACTTAAATATTGACTTTTAAAAAAACTGATATAACTTTATTGTTTATTAAACTTTTTATAAATATCTTAGAAAAATGAAGGCTGGAGAGCAAATATAATGCAATTTCCGATATAATTAATATCTCCAAGGGGCATTACTATTTCAAAAATAATTGATCGGCAATGATTTTCAAAAATATTCGAGACTTTGCTGACACAAACCTATGATAAATAAGTTTTTTAAAAATCTGACAAGAAATGTACACGTGAGAGCGCTGTAACAAGACCTGACGGACAGACACACGGACGCTCGGTATTTCTATGCCCCCCCCGCAACGCGACGAACGAGGAACAATTAAACCACACAAGACAGTAAATATTTATGTCGTATACCGAGAGAAAACAATGTATTTAATGACATGTAGTTACCGAGACCAATTGTGTATCGAACATTTTACCATAAGTATACACATGTAAAAGCACGTGAATATCACTTTTCTTCAGGCGAATAAGCTGTTCTATTCAAAATCAAATTCTTTTATATTGTTTGAATTTGTACCCGGGATTGAAAGAAGATATGCTGACAAGTCAAGCAAAGGAAAAATGTTTACAAAATGAATATACTTGTTTACTTAGAAAGTTTAAAAAAACATACTCTTTATTTGGCCTTTTTAAATTTTTTGATTCGAACGTCACTGATGAGTCTATTGTAGACGAAACGCGCGTCTGGCGCAAATACTAAATTTCAATCCTGGTATCAATGATGAGTTTATATACTAACAATTTATGTAGGTGTTGTTTTGGGAGAGTGCTAAAAATAACTTTATTATTTGTAAATATTTACGGCTTGCACTTTTTGTTGTTTATGGTAGTTTATGGAGATACTTACTGTCAATAAGATCATAACGTTGACCCCATCAAGTGTAATTATTATACGTCAACTATAAAGCGTAGGCGTCAACTGTCTATCGTATGAACAATTTCTTCTGTAGAAGCCGAGTGATTTATTTCGTCATTACGCGAACCACAAGCTAACCGCATATATGTGAGAATTTGACCATATGGATTTTCTGTTTTATTTTTCAGACATAAAATTTACAAAATGTTGAAAGGGATTATCCTAATTGTCACCATCCAGCTTGTAAATGCAAACTTTTTCGGTAAGTATTGGATTAATTTGAAAATGGGAAAATTGTATGATAAAATTCAGGTTTTCAGGCATCAATCATAGATAAGATAGTTGCAAATTTAACTCGCGAAAAATTTGACATAATATATAAATGTTTATAGTGAGAAAATATTAAACAATATGCAACAAAAATTGTTCGTCTATTTATTTTTGTATGATTTAACCCATTCTTGTGTTTAATAACCCTTAGTTTGATTGACTGCACAATATCAAGTTAGATATGTAAAGAATGCGTGCAAAAACTGATATCATTGTCGCATGGGAGCTTAAAAATAAAGTTATAACTTAAACACATATTAGAAAAAGAAATGGCTTTTAGAAAACTAATGTATCATTGTTTATACAGGAAAAATCAATTCCGATGTATTATCCTGAGATGAAACAGAGTGTACTTTTAAAGTTAAAACGTTCATTTTTTATCTCTTCGTGTTGTATAAGTCGGTCGTGTAAATGTTAATACTATAAAACCGATTTGCATATATTTCAGTTAAAAGGGTTTGAAATCAAACAAATGCACAAGAGCAAAAAAAAAAAAACAACAAAAAAAACACCAAACAAACAAAAAAACATACGTATGGGTAAATGAAAACTGGAACGATTGCTTAATTGTTGCTTACAGAACGTTTAGTGGCAAATATTTTATGCGTTTCCAGAACGGGAACACATCTATACTCAATACAATAGGTATATTTTGTAATGTATGACAACCGAGATGAGGGGATTAACATTTAGGCTGCCGCATGATAATTAGGGCTTATGTGAAAGGTTCATAAATTTAGGCTGACAACAGGCCACCTGAGGACCCTCAGAGAAGTGTCGCAATGGGTTTATTCTAACGTGCAGAGAACGCGACACTCTCCCAACACGAGACATCGGAATTAACGTTGCTGTGTAATGATACACCCCGCACATCCAACGGCTGCTTCACGTTTGAACTGCTGGACGTGTGTAGTCCACAGATTACCATACCTCAGTCAACCCTTAAGGTCACGAAAATGGGAAAGAATAGAATAAACCACACGGCGTCATAAATAACACATGTAACAAACCATATGGGTTTTCTCATTGTTGTTTGAACTCTGGTGGATGGTTGTCTCATTGGCAATCATATCACATATCCTTATTTTGTGATGAAATTGGATTAAGTTGTTATAAAATCTTATCGACTGAAAGGAAAACTAATCTCAAGATTAATAGAATGTAAAAAAAAACGGTACATTCATCTTTCAAAAGTTTATCTACAATGAATTTATTTTTGGTTTAATCTGTAAAATATTATAATTTGCAAATGAAAGATATCAATGATTTTCTTTAACTCTAGAATGATTGAATGTGAAATTGGCTCGTTTCTTAATAATGCGTCAATTTAAAAAAAAACTTGTTTTTATACGCCCGATTACGGGACGTTTTATGGTATACTGTTGTCTGTCCGTCTGTCCGTCCGTCTATCCGTCCGTCCGTCGTTATATTTATTGACGTGAACTCCCTTTCGATTTTTTTGAATTTCGTATTTTACGTTTCCAAGTTATGGGATTTTATTCATTACAAAGGGGGATTTCCCAGTTTTCGGACAATAACTCAAAAATGTTTTGAGCAGTTTTCATGAAACTTTGATGAATTATTCATATCTATTGACGTGAGCTCCCTTTCGATTTATATAAATTTTTGATTTTACGTTTCCGAGTTATGGGGTTTTATTCATTAAAAAAGGGGGACTTTACAGTTTTCGGACAATAACTCAAAAGTGCTTTGAGCAGTTTTCATGAAACTTTGGTGACTGGTTTATATCTATTAAAATAACCTCCCTTTAGTTTTTTTTTATAAATTTTTGATATGACATTGAGGAGTTATGGAACATTATTCTTTGAAAAAGCAGCGGGCGTATCATGCGCTCATGGCGCAGCTCTTTATTTGTTTGTTGAAATATTAAAAAACAAAATGTTACTCAGTATGTCTCCTACAACCTTTACACACCATGATATGTTACATTTATCAACTTGACCAAGAAAATATCTAATAACATTACTCTTTCAGTGAAAATACAATTATATTGATTGGTATAGGTTGGATTATATGAATATGTATTTTTTTCTTTTAGGTGTATTTGGCAAACCGTTATACAATCCATTCAATAAGGATAAATATATGATTGATTTCATCACGACATTCAACAAACTTATGAATATGAAACAACCACAGTTCCCACATCCTAAAAGTTATCCGGGTTTCCCTCCATTGTTTCCAGGGATAAAAGGAAAAAAATCAGTCTTCAAAACCATAGATTTCACTGATATGGCTCCTGGTTCCAAGAAAACTTTCCGTGTTGACAACGGTCAAGGGATAGCATTTAGGTATGACAATAATAAGATACCAGACGAGATAAAACAGAAGTAAAAAAAAGGCATTAAAAGATATGCACAGCTTATTTAAAGCTATATATGGCCATGGGTTTGCATTAAAAAAAAGTAAATTTTGGTTCCCATAAAAATAGATACATCTGAAGATTTAGCAGCATGATTTCTGTTAAAATCCGAAGTTAAATTATGATACTCCGAAATGGTAAACAGGTATTTTTATGAAACATTATTAAAAGGAAAATGCATACAAATTGAATATAAACAAACAAATAAACATGCAAATCTGATTTGATTTTATCAATATCTACAATAAAAGGTACCGGAGTAAGCGGTTTAAGAACTGTGTTATACCTTTATTAAAAAGTCCTTCGCAAACAAAAACTTGAATCAAAAAATAAAACAAAGTTCAAATTAGGTTCTCCTTAAAAATTCATTTAGACAAGGATTAAAGTGCATTATAACGTTTCCAAGTTCTACTCAGTGAGGAATTGTCATACTGCCAAAATAAAACTGCGGGCTTCGTCGGCCGTTTAAGAGATACTACCATAAATGAAAAGCATATTGCTACTTGGACACCAAAGCGACATATCTTTGTAATCCTTCAATCATTGAAAAAATACATAATATAAAATAACAAAGTCTTTAGGTCGTCTTTTTTTTCTTATACAGGAGTAAAAGCGGAAACGCAGGAGGAATGTCATTTTCTAGTGGAACCGGAGGCGGAAAAGGTTTTGCATTTGGAGGAACATTAGGTGGCGGTAGTAATGGTGAATTTGTAATGAGTCAGAGTGGTCCAGGATTGAAAGGAGGAAAAGTTACATATTCAAAGGGTGTTCCTAAATTCGCAAAAGGACTATTCGGCATGCTTCCGTTTTTTAAATAATAGGGTACACGATAGGCTAAGATTCTCATTTCTTCATGATACACTAATATTGTATATTTATATACTTTTGGGGAAACATTGTAACACGGCTATACTACTTGCATACATCCCAGTATGATAAGATAACACAAACAGTCACTGTTGTGTGAGCAAATAACTGTGTGTATTACATATACAATGCATATATGGTTGCTGCTTCCTAAGCAGAAAACAGTCAACACCTGGCAGCTTCTACTTACACGATGACCTACATCAAAATTAATGAGACCGAGATAATATGTTGACAATAAGTAAATGAGATTTACATTAATATATATAGTGCTATTTTTCATATGTGCCATAAATTTATAATAATGAGTGTTGGTTTAACCATGTACATTTATTATTGTACATTTGATTATATTCCTACTTGTACGAGATAACCGCTCTCCCAACCAAACAAACAGTTTTTTTTTATAATAAATCTGCGTTTGTTGTCACTTTTTAAATTCTTATATTTACTCTTTATTGTGCTTATCGTTCTAGGAACGCAATTGTTAATTGAAATTATTTATTTTCATTGGTCTGTTTTGCCATTTTACGACGTCTTAATTGAAAAACGACACTTGAAACGACGATGATTTTCGGTCGACATAAATGACGGTTTTACGGAAACATTTTTCAATCTTGGTGCATTTGATGAACCAAACTTGTAATGAAGTGGTTTACAGAAGGTCTTCATTGATAATTGATGAAATTTCATTTTTAAAATAAGATTCCAATCAATTTTCAAAACACATTTAAATGCCGATGACCACTCATAAAGATTAATTATTTTAAACTAATCGAGTTGCAAAGTACTTATACGAAGGTGCGTTTGCTTTAGGTGTCTCGTACAGTAAGGTAAGATCAACATTTGTAATAACCAATTTCATTTAGTTGTTATAGACTGAAAAAACTTTACTAACAGAAAATTTAACAACGTAAAGTATGTACATATATAACTTTAATTTTTGAAAAACTAACGAACTAACTAAATCTACAAAGATAGCTTCATTTTAACATGTGATGTGTTTTGTATGTTTAAGATTTATTTTAAATTGTTGAATGTGTAGATTGTAATATATTTCCATGTAATATTTTCATGTTGTAAAATCCACTGTTATTCATTGTTAAGTTTAATAACTTTTCTTTTTTCTCATACGTTGACAAAAATGTGTTTTCTTTATTAATATTTCGGCCTGTTAACTTTATTGTCATGTAACAGTTGTTTCGTTGTTTTTGCTATAATAACGTTTTACCCCCATTCTTACGCCCATAACAGTGACTGATTTTGTTATCAGCTTCAGTCAAATATTTCGTGCACATACGGGCATAAACAAGTTACAATGTTTAGATGAACTATTAAAACTCAAAAACGAGCATTTTTTTTTTAAAGTTTGAAAACTATCGATATCTCACTAAAAGAATTTAAAAATGTTTAAGGAATGCATCTGCATAAAAAAAAATCGAAATGATTAATGTATGCTGAATAGTAATTTTGCGTTGAAAAGTTAGGACATGTAATTTTTCTTATCAATCTCGATATCATCGATATCAATCGATCAAATTTCAGACCTCGCAGTATTGCCTACACTCCTTGGACTGTCATGCGCGTTTCGGGATGATATCGGGACAAATACAGATAATGATATTTAATAATGTGTAATATTCTTTATACATTTTTACAGGAAGGAATATTTTACCTTTAAAGTCTATCACCGGACTTCTTACTGCAATTATGATTCATATTCCATTTTCATGTGTATATCATTAATGTTTTTTTTCAGATTGCAGGAGTATCTTGAATGTTCGTTAATTTATAATAAAAGAAATTTTATTTATTGGCTTAAAGTCAGTTCTGTAGATATTTTACTACCATATTGTACTAAATTCCTTGCATGATGAATAAAGGATAAAATATTAAATGTTTGGTCATTTCATTGCACAATCACAGATAAACCTGAAATAAAAAGAAGTAATTACTGATAAGTAACAAAATGACGAAAACAAAAGTTTTACATCGATATATAATCGTGATTTATACACTTCTTATCGATATGCATAATTAAAATTTAGATACAATGAGATGGGACAGATAAATTGATCATATAGCTTTACATCTTGCTGGATCTTATGGTGTACAAAGACGAATATTCTGATAGGATCATGACATTTCATGTTAAAGAATATGGTACTAATAGCAAATCTTAAATAATCTCTGTTATACGCATTAACATCTTGCTTATTCCGTAACCTTCCGGAACATCTGAGATCACCCCCGGTTTTGGTGGGGTTCGTGTTGGTAGGTTTTTATTTTTATGTTGTGTTTTGTGTTCTGTTGTTTGTTTTTTCGTCGTTTTTCGTTTTTTTGCCATGGCATTGTCGGTTTGTTTTCGACTTGAAAGTTTAAATGTCCCTTTGGTATCTTTCGCCTCTCTTGTCTAAATTGTAAACGATTTAGAGCTTGACATCTGATATAAAAACTTGTATTATGATGAAGACCGTATATTGGACTTTTGATTCTTTTCTTGTTTTATTGTGTTGCTAGGTTACAGTCTAAGAAAACAAAAGAAATAAGTATTCAAATTTGCTCCATTAGCTTGAAGCTATATCAATGATTTATTGTGTTTGTTGGCGCCGCACTTCTGTATATTTACTACGCGGGTATTTCAGTTAAAAACTATCAAAGATACACCAACATTTTTGTACTTGTCATTTCTGTATATTGATTATAACTCCTCTCCCGTAGTATATTCGACGTGAAAAAGAAATAACAGTATAGGATTTGGAATCATAGTTTTACTGCAGAGTAATCCTAAAGTTCCTGTAAGTCATGTTACATATATCAAGAAAATGAAGAAAAACACCTACATCCTTCTTCTGAGTGATCTTTTTGAAAGATTAAACAGCTACATTTATAGAGAACACTTTAACCAAGTAAGAACGTATGGTGTACTCCATTCGTTCCATCAGTTGATATGTTTGCTTCGCATCACGGTGCGAAGCTATTAATTTCATACGATACTCACGTCATCTTGAAATTATTACGTAACTTGAAGTATCGATTGTCATTGGTTGCCTTATCATATGGATAAGATTCTATTGGCTAGAAAAAGAACATGTCTTGGACAGGAGAACATCAAAAAACGGAAAAATTACAGTATGGGTATTCAAGATTCGATCCGATACCCGATGAATAAATAATTTGGCTTTTACTATATAGTGTCACGATGTAAAGCTATTTGGTTTCTTTCGATAATTACGCGATCTTGAAATTATTATTCAACAAATATTGGTTAATTCTGATTGTTTGCCTTATGTCCTGGATCATCTTCGGAAGCAAGGTCGTCGGCTCTGAACTTTCCCGAAGTCCTGCATTTGACTATCGTGTTTATGCACTTTGGTCCTTGATTGGAAGTTAGTCCCAGATGGCAGAAAATATTAAACACGGAAGATAAGGGCTAAAATTGAAGAACCTGATAAAACATTGTTGCTTCATATTGACGTGTTTTATGATACTGCCACTCCGTACCTTTTAAGCAAGGTTAAACTTGAACGCTTTTACGATTTTATAAGTGGTTTTGGACTTACAATAAATGAAGTCACCAGCTCTTTCTCGATCTAATATAGATTTCTATTGTTTTTGAATCAATCTCTAGGATGTTGCCTTGTTCTGATAACTCTAGCACAGACGACGCTATTCAACATATTAGTTAAAAAAATGTAATCTCCTTGTTTATTTCGCTTAATGCCTTCAAACTAGGACAATATTTGTACTGCATATTAACAAATGAAAATATGACAGTTACCTGTAAATATGACAGTTGATTGATATTATGACAAATATTGAACATGACAATGTGTAGTATATAGCCTCAGTTGACCTCGATCTCTATCAGGTTATCATCCTGCTTTTGTAGAAAATATGATAGAGTAGAAAAAATTGGAAATCAACCTATCTGAATAAAGTACGCGCTCTGGTGGCTGTTCTTTGAAAGAAGGGACGTTTTTATTGTGAAAGATATTTCATAAACTATATTTCTGGCATGCTTTGTGCAGATTATCCAAAAAAAAGGAGGAAACAGTTAAGAAACAACCTCTGGGGCAATTTAATTCATTCATTTGGAACATAAGAGAGAGTTTTATAAATGACTTTATAGTTACATATTTTTTGGTCCACATTAGCTCAGTCGTCAATAATTTTCTTCATGGGCTACATGTAATTGATAAAACCTTTAATTTCTGTTAATACGAGTTAAACCTAATGAATAAATATCGACATCCCATAGTTAAGGAAAAGATAACCAAAAACAATTAGAAGCAAAGAGTAGGTAAAGGAAAACAGGAAACGACACTCATTTTCTTTTTTACAGAATTTTATTTCCAAAATACTAGAAAAAATGTTTTTTAGTTTGCAAGGATTCCGAAGTTCTAATTTTATTTGATCGGGACGGATTAAGAAATTAACATATTTTGATATATAAGGTAAACAAAAGAAGAACTTTGATGAAAACACCATAACGAATCGGTTGAACTTGTATGTGTTGACTGAAACCTTTCTAGAACTGTCCGTTTATAAATTTATGAATTATAAAGAAACCAAGGTTTCAACTACTTCAGGCAAATTTGAGGCACAGTTGACTCTAGATGGATTAGACAATTATTTGTAGGTCTTTTTTGGTCATATAGCTCTTTTGCTGTTTCGGGTCTTATACACCATTGGCATTGAGCGTTCCTTGTGATGGTAAATCAAGAAAAGCGCTTCGGACGCATGCAATTTATAAAGTGTTGTTTTCATTTTTTTACTGAAGTAAACCCGTTTAAATAACAAAGATTTATGGGTTACTGTTTTCTCATATATTCTCGCAAATTAATAGAATTAATAGAGTAATATCTAAATACACTGAATTGTGTAACTTATGTCGAACCCACTTTACATTATATCTTTATATATTTATTTTATTGTTTTATTTATTTTTCATTTTTTTCTTTATTTCATTTCTTTAGTTCAATTTTTAATTTTTTGTAAATTTTATCTATATTATTTCAAGCAATTTATATATTGGCAGAAGTCCATTAAATGAACTTCTGATATTGAATAGAGTTGTTACTTTTCGTGATTAATTATTTAGTATTGTACATTTCTTTATAATATTGTTTTTAATACATTTGTATTTTTTTTACCTTTATGAAAGTGGTCAATACAAGTGTGTGCCAAAATTTACATAATGATATTAAGCAACATATGCATCACTACATACATTGTATGATGTCAGGTAAACTCGAATATACTAAAACTCCGTTTTACGTTATTTTGTACTATTCAACCTTAGGGGCCTTTTATAGCTTACTATGCGGTATGGGTTATGCTCATTGTTTAAGGCCATACGGTAATCTATCGTTGTTAACAACTTCTACGTCATCTAGAGTCGGTTTCACAAAACTTACGACTAAGATAGATCGAAGGTATACTGAATTGTTCATGACTTACGGTCAATCTTATAGTCGTAAGGTTTTTTTGTGAAACCGATTCCTGGTCTCTGATGGAGAGTTGTCTCATTGGCAATCATACCACATTTTCTGATTTTTATATTGAACTGTTTAGTATAGTTCTATGAAAGATTATTCTGACAGTTCTAAAGAATGGTTAGAACTGATCATAACTGTCTACAATTCGTTACCATATTCAGATCGAGGTTAACAATATAATATCGAATAATTTTCATTTATTCAAAGCCACTACAGAGGAAGTAAAATTTATTAGACTGAAGCTAATCAATAAACGTTTAGATCACTTTTTCCCGATATTCGGTGAATTTTTACACCGCATGATTGAAAATACTGTTAAGGAAACTAATTGCAAGCTAAAAAGTCTCGACCGATTTTCCTTAAAGGGGCTTTGATGTCAAATTGACTCAACATCTATAATATTTATAATGTGCTAAACATTTATCAGAGTTACATAAGTTCTATTGGAAAAATGAACAATGCATGTGATCGTAATAAAGTATCAACATTATTGCGTATTTTAACCAGCGATATGACCTCTGCAGAATGACGATGGTCATATGAACCCGATATATACTTGATTGATTGAATGTTTATTTGTTGGTGTTTAACGCCACTTAACGCCACTTTCAGCACGCTTGGCTATATCGCGACAGCCAATTTTTATTGGTAGAGGAAGCCGGAGTATCCGGAAAGAACAACCAACCTTTGGCAGGAAAACAGACATTCCTAGTCAAATAAGGTAGACATCGAACGCACCTGCACGAGCGGGTTCGAATTTGCAACCTCAGTTTTGACCGGCTATTGATTGCTGTAGATGAACTTCTTAGACCACTCAGCCATCGAGGCTCCATGTATACTTGAATATAGATAGACAGACGTTTCGGATGGAAGCATGTGCACTGGATATTTGACGATGTTGCCAAGTCTGTTTGATTTTATGTCTGATAAAAAAGAATGTAAATATCTTCTTACTGTAGAAAATATTCTTTTTAGGGCAGGACCAGTCAATATAATCGGCCTTCCTGCTGACTTTCCTAATTTCTATATTTCAGCTGTGACATTCTTTTTTTAAATAACTAAAACTGCTGACCATGTGCAATTGGTCTCCAATTGAGGTCAAATTAAAGATCAGATCGAGGGTATAAGGACCCAAAATTAGGTTTAATGCTAGGTGAAGTATTATCACCTATATTTTTGTCAATGTATGTCAACGATTGTGAAATGGCTTTTATAAATAGTGAATCGATTCCTTATGAGGTAAAGGAACTTAATTTATTTTTATTAATGTACATGTGTACACTGACGATATGGTTATTCTTTAATAAACTGTATCTGGGGCCTGTTTATCGAAACTGTCCTAAGATCGGTCCTAAGAATTTCTTAGGACAGAAATTAGGATAAAGTTAGGACCGAC